AGGTGAAATAAGGCTGTTTGCCTTGTTCCTGACTTTAGACTAAAGGCTTTGTGTTGAGGTAGTTTCCTTTTATTCCTAGTTTATTGAGTATTATTATATTAAATTGGTGTTTAATTTTGTCAAATTATTTTACATCAATGAGATGATCATGTGTGTTTTTCCCTTTATGCTGTTAATGTGGTGTGTTACATTGATTTGCATATGTTGAATCGTCCTTGTATTCTAGAAATAAGACCCACTTGATTATCATATATCTGTGTGTGTGTGTGTGTGTGTGTGTGTGTGTACACATATGTACACACATATTCCTTTTATTCCTAAAACCCAGGTACGAGCTTTGACAAGAATTGAACCTGTTAATGTGATGTGTTACATTGATTTGCATATGTTGAATCATCCTTGTATTCTAGGGATAAAACCCACTTGGTTATCATATTATTCCTGCAACCTGGGTACGTGCCCTTAACCAGAATTGAACCTGGAACCTTTTGGTCCTCAGGCAGACGCTCTATCCACTCAGTCAAACCGGCTAGGGCTCTTTTTTATCTTAGTCCTTTCAGCTAAAGATTTGTCACATTTGTGAATCTTTTAAAAAAAATCTGATTTCATTGTTTTCTCTGTATTGTTTTTCTATTTTATTTATCTGTAATCTTTATTGGTTCCTCCCTCTGCTAGTGTTAGATGTTGTTTGTTCTTCTTTTAGTTCTTTAAGTTGTTAAGTTTTAGATTTGAGATGCTTCTTACTTTTAATATAGAAGAAGCATCTGGAGTTAGGAACTTTCTTTGCAGCATTTTGGTGCCTCCCCTAAGTTTTGGCACTTTACATTTTCATTTTCATTAACTTCTAAGTATTTTCCAATTTCTCTGTGATTTCTTCATTGATCATTTGTTTAATAATTGTGTTATTTAATTTCTAGAAGTTTTTCTTTTACATTCTGTTATTGTTTTCTAATATTCCGTTGTAGTCAGAGGGCATCCTTTGTATTTATCTATATTTAAAATCTATTGAGGCTTTAAGTGTGGTATAACATATTCTCTACCCTGGAGATATCCCATGTGCACTGGAGAATATGTGTGTACTGTTCTTGGATAGAGTGCACAGTAAAGGGTATTTGTTTGCTAAATCAGCTGGTTTTTGTGTTAAGTCTTCTATTTCTTTACTTACTGGTATCTTCTGCCTGATTGTTGTTTTCATTATTGCAATAACCAATTATTATTGTAGAACTGTTTGTTTTTCCCATTAATTTTGTCAGTTTTTGCTTCATATATTTTGACAGCCTGTTATTAGTTGTGTAAATATTTACAATGATTATTATACTAGGGGCCTGGTGGATGAAATTCGTGCATGGGGGGGGGAGGGGTCCTTCAGCCTGGCCTAATTCTCTTCAATTTGGGACCCCTTAGAGGATGTCCAACAGCTCGATTGATCAGGCCTAAACTGGCAGTTGGACTACCCTCTCATAATCCAGGACCACTGGCTCCTAACTGCTCACCTGCCTGCCTGCCTACCTGATTGCCCCTAACCACTCTGCCTGCTGACCTGATCTCCCCCAACTACCCCCGGCCAGCCTGCTCACCTCCAACTTTCCCCCGTGGCAGCCTTCTCACCCTCAACTGCCCCCCATTGCTGGCCTTATTGCCCACAACACCCCTGCCCGCTGGTCACTCTCAACTGTCCTCCTCTCCTGTCCTGATCACCCCTAACCACCTCTGCCTTGGTGCCACCACCATGGCTTTATCTGAAGGGCTCCCGGAAGGTCTACCAGTCTAATTAGCATATTATCCTTTTATTAGTATAGATTCTTGTTATATTAGCAGATAACTTGCTAATCTTTAATAATAAAAGTATAATATGCAAATCAACTAAACGGCAGAATGACCATCCAGATGACCACACTATGACACCCACTGGCGCCAGGTCACCCAAGGATGGTGCAATGCAATTGGTCCAGAATCTGCCATTGCCCCATGATCACACCGCAAAGGGAGGACCAGGCCAACAGCCCGGTGGGGTGATCAATGCGGAAGGCTCCATGATTGCCTCAAAGAGAGATGCCCAGGCCACTGACCAGTGGGCTGGGGCGGGTAGGTGAGGCCTCCCTCTGCAGGGCGAGATCGATCAGCCACGAGCCTGGCTGATGGCTGCGAGTGCAGCAGCAGTGGCAGGAGTCTCTCTTATCTCTTCAGCAGCACTAAGGATGTCTGACTGCCTGGGGGGGGGGGGGGGGAAGGGGCCTAAGCTGGCATGTGGACATCCCCTGAGGGATCCTGGGCTTCCAGAGGAATGTCTGAGTGCCAGTGTAGGCCTGCTCTCTGGAACCAGCAGGTGGACATCTCCTGAGACTGTGAGATGGTGCAGGCTGGGCTGAGGGGAAACACCCCCCCCCCCCCCCTGGAGTGCATGAGTTTTCATGCTCTGGGCCTCTAGTGAATGCTATAAAACATTTTGAGAGAGAGACCACATTGACACCACTTTTATTACATTGCTATAATTGTACCATTTTATTATTAACTAGAGGCCGGGTACACAAAATTTGTGCACAGGTTGGGGGGGGGGGGGGAGATGTCCCTCAGCTCAGCTTGCACCCTCTCCAATCTGGTACCCCTTGAGGGATGTCCAACTGCTTGTTTAGGCCTGATCCCAGTGCTGGGATCGAGCCAAAACAGGCAGTCAGACATTCCTCTCACAACCCAGGACTGCTGGCTCCCAACTGCTCTCCTGTCTGCCTTCCTGATTGCCCCTAACCACTTCTGCCTGCCAGCCTGATCACCCCCTAACTACTCCCCTGCCAGCTTGATTGATGCCTAACTGCTCCCCTGCCAGTTTGTTTGCCCTTAACTGCCCTCCTCTCCAGGCCTGGTCACCTCTAACTGCTGTCTCCTGCAGGCCTGGTTTCCCCAAAACTGCTCTCCCCTGCAGGCCTGGGTTTCCCCCAACTGCCCTTCCCTGCAGGCCCGGTCACCCCCAACTTTTCTCCTCTGCCAGCCTGGTCACCCCTAACTGCTCTCCCCTGTAGGCTTGATTGCCCCCAACTGCCCTCCCTTGCAGGCCTGGTGCATCCCAACTGCCCTTCCCTACTGGCCATCTTGTGGTGGCCATCTTGTGTCCACATGGGGGCAGGATCTTTGACCACATAGGGCATCCATCTTGTGTGTTGGAGTGATGGCCAATCTGCATATTACTCTCATTAGATAGGATAGAGGCCTGGTGCTCGGGTGGTGGCCAGCTGGTTTGCCCTGAAGGGTGTATTGGATCATGGTAGGGGTTCCCTTAGGGCGTGGGGCATCCTGGGTGAGGGGCCTATGGTGGTTTGCAGGCTGGCCACGATCCCTGGAGACCCAAGTGGAGGCCCTGGTATCTGGAACTTATTTATCTTCGACCATTGAATCTTTGTAGCCTGGAGTGGAGCAAGCCTTCTGCTCACTTTGTGGCAGAAGCCATTTTTGTTGGGATTATTTATCTTCTATAATTGAAACTTTGTAGTCTGGAGTGGAGGCCTAGGCCTGCCAGGGCTGCAGAAACTTGGTTTCTTCCATCGCCAGGGAAAATCCTAGCCTCCTGCTCTCTCCAGCTCTGTGGCTGCCACCATTTCTGTTGGAATTTATTCATCTTCTATCATTGAAACTTTGTAGCATTGAGTGGAAGCCTAGGCTGGCAAGGGCAGGTGGAAAGCTTGGCTTCCTCCATTGCCAGGGAAACCCAAGCATCCCTCCTGCTCTCTGTGGCCACAATCATCTTGGTTGGGTTTATTTGCATATTTGCTCCTGATTGACTGGTGGGCATGGTTGGTGGGCTTGTGGGTGTAGTGGAGGTACGGTCAATTTGCATATTTCTTTATTAATATATAGGATTACTAGAGGCCCAGTGCATGAAATTTGTACACTCAGGGGGTTTCCCTCAGCCCAGCCTGCACCCTCTCCAATCTGGGACCCCTGCAGGATATGGCTTAAACTGGCAGTCAGACATCCCTTTCATAATCTGGGACTGCTGGCTCCTAACCACAAGCCTGCCTGCCAGCCTGATCACCCCCTAACCATTCACCTGCTAGACCGATCGCTGTCAACTGCCCTCCCCTGCTGGCCTGTTTTCCCCCAACTGCCCTCCCCTGCCAGCCATCTGTGACAGCCATCTTGTGATAATGTGGGAGCGGCCATGTTATGATGATGTGAGGGCATCATGCGAGGGCACAAGGGCTTTTATTAGTATAGATTGTTTTAATCTTTTATGCCTATGTTATTAATCAAAGTTTATAAAAGGTATTAAGTAACCATTTTGGAAGTCTGAAGTCCACTGAAGTCTTGCACTTCCAAGGACAAGCTTAGAAGACACATTGTGGTTAATGTCAGTCAATTTCAGTCCTCAGTATAGTAACAGTTTCCACAATCACCCAAGCACCATGGCAGGCAAGTCTACATATGTCCCTGAAGCATCATGCACACAGTTTGTGGAGGAGCCAGACCTGGGGGAAAAACAGCATCCTCCAAATACCAGTCCTCTGATCACTGCTTGCTGCTGATGAGCTAGTCCTCTGATCACTGCTTGCTGCTGATGAGCAAATACGAGCAGACAAGAGAGCAGGTGGTCATTGTTCTAGTGCCTTCCCCCATTGTTGCAAGCCCCTCCCTGTCTATATAAAGTGATTCCCAAGGGTTTTAAAGGGCCAGTGCCCTTTTCCCCATTATTTTTCTCATTTTTTTGTCTTTTGGGACTCAGATATTAAAGACTAGGACATACAAAAAGCAATTGCACCTACAGGAAATATTAGAAAGTGGTCATACATACCCAGGGAAAGGTACAGGCTCAGAAGAGATTTGAGAAGACCTCAAATCTATGCCTAAAGAAAGGTCTTTGGCAGAGGCAACCTAATACAATAAAACAACAACAACAAACCAGAACACTCTAAGGAAGAGGGAGAGTCTGCCAGAGTTATTCACATCATTAAATTCAAATGTCCAGCTTTCAACAAAAACAATTACAAGGCATACATAGAAACACAAACCATGGCTCCTTCGAAGGAAGAAAATAAACCAACACAAACTATTCCTGAAAAAGAACTGATAGCAACTCTACTAGATAAAAACTTGAAAACAACCACCTTAAGGGTCCTAAAACATTAAAGAAAGATGTAAAGAAAATCAAGAATGTGAGTTATGAACAAAATGAAACATCAAAAAAGAGATATAAAACCTAAAAAGAAATGGAAAAGAAATTCTAGAGCTGAAAAATACAATAACTGAAATGAATTCACTGAAGGTAATCAAAGGTAGATCTGAGCAAACAGAAGAAACAATCAGAATTTTAAAATAGCATAACAATAATTATCTAATCTGAGGACTGGAAAAACAAAGATTGAAGAAAAGTGAACAGAACCAAAGGGACTTGTGGGACACCAATGTATATGGATACCAACATATACATTGTGGGAATCCAGAAGAAGACTAGAAAGAAAAATGAGCAGAAAAAATACTTGAAATAATGGTTTTAAAAAATGTCCCAAATTTGATGAAATACATGAAGATAAATATAAAAAGGCTTAACAAATTCCAAGTGAGATGAATTCCAAGAGAACCATGCCAAGACACAATAAAATCAACTTTCAAAAGAAAAAGACAAAGAGATAACCTTGAAGAAACAAAAGAGAAGGGACTCAATATACAAGGGATCCTCAACAAGAGTAGATTTCTTAACAGTAAAAAGGGAGTGGGCCAATATTCTCAAAATGTTAAGAAACAAAACAAAACGAAAAAAACAACAACAACAACAAAAAACTCTGCCAGCCAGCAATTCTGTAGTCAGCAAAATTGTCCTTCAAAAGTGAAAAAGAAATTAAGACATTCCCAGATAACCAAAAGTAATGCTCAAGGGAGACCTGTAGGATGAAATAATTCAACAGTAACTCAAAGCCATATGATGAAATAAAGAATTATTTATTCAATGAAGGTAAATACATGGCAGGAATATTGTAACAGTTTTTATTTTCTATATGATTTAGGAAACTAATTCATTTTTAAAAAATACTAATCCAAAAGATAGTATTATTGTAACTTTGGTTTATAATTATACATTTTGTTATCTACATAATATGAGAGAGTAATGCATTTATTTGTTTACTAAAGGCCTGGTTCACGAATTCATGCATAGGTGGGGTTTCACAGCCTGGCTGGTGATTGGGGCCAATTGGAGCCATCTCGCTCAGCCCTGATTGGGGTCGGTGGCCAACCTCCCACAACCCCTCCCCGTGAAGGGGCCTTGGGAGGTTGGTCAGCCAGAAGGAGGGACCACGGGAGATTGGCTGGCCGAGGGAAAAAACCCCATGAGGTAGGTTAATCCATCCCTCCCACCCCCCATTGGGAGGGAAGGGACCACGGGAGGTTGGCTGTGGGAGCTGACTGACCACCAGGGAGCAGCTCCTGCATTGAGCATCTGCCCCCTGCTGGTAGTGCGCATCATACTGATCAGCTGTTCAGTCAATTTACATATTAGCCTTTTATGCCTGCAGGATCAGGCTGAAACCAGCTCTCTGACATCACCCAAGGGGTCCCAGACTGTGAGAGGGCACAGGCCAGGCCAAGAAACCCCACCGATGCACAATCAAGGCCGGGGAGGAATGTGGGAGGTTGGCCAGCCAGGAAGGGATCATAGGAGGGCTCCAGGGCAAGTCTGTCTGTCTTGCTCCCCATCAGCAAGCTAACCTATCAGTCAGAGCATCTACCACCTGGTGGTCAGTGCATGTCATAATGAGCAATTGAGCAGCCTTAATGTATCATTAGCATATTATGCTTTGGTTGAACAGATGACTGGACAGTTAGCACATTAGGCTTTTATTATATAGGATGTTTTTTGGGCAAATCATGTAAAAAGATGTAAGTTTGTAACATCAACAACCAAATAGGGGTGGGCATGAAACTATGAAAGGAGTAGAGTTTGTATATTATTAACACATTAAATGCCCGGTCAGTCACCGGTGACTGACACTATACTTTCCATCCCAAAGATAAAACAGGCTGGACACTTAATGTGTTAATGTTAAGCTGGCATAATTCAAATGAGATTGTTATAACTGTAGGAAATTTAATCCTTGTGGTAATCACAAAAAATAGCTATAGAACATATATAAGAGGAATAAAAAGCAATTTAAATGTTCCACTATGGAAAATAAACTAAACATTAAAGAGGGCAGTAATGCAGAAAATGAAAGAAAGGTTTATAGGAAAAACAAACAAACAACAAACAGTAATATGATATGTAGATGGCTGCCTGGGAAGGCACATGGGCAATTTTCCTTAATTATCGTCAGCTGAACTCAAGGCATAGGCAGAGCCACGCCCTGGGAACATGTTTCCCCAAGATGGCAGACATGTTGTCAGCTTGGCCTTCATATCAGCCCAGGTGTCAGCAGGGGAGGAACCAGGCATGCTAGGGCCTACTTAAGAATACAAATAAGTTGATATTACTTCCTGGTATTGGGGATATAAAATAAATGCACTGCGAGGGGCCATCGTCCTCTTCTTCCTACCTCTCCAGCAGACAGGGTGACTACCCACCCAGCTCCCAGCTTAAAATTTATCTCTGTGTCTTCTCTATTTCTAATATTTCTCAATCCCTGGCTGCCTCCACTTAGAACTGGTTCATTCATCTCTCTTTCCGTGTGGGACATGGAAAAGAGAGATCCCCGCCATGTCTGGTCCCCACCGCATCAGGCCCCCACAATGACAGAAGTCCTAACTCATCAGTAATTACTTTAAGTGTAAATGGCTTATGCCGAAACTGGTTTGGCTCAGTGGATAGAGCGTTGACCTGCAGACTGAAAGGTCCCGGGTTCAATTCCAGTCAAAGGCATGTACCTTGGTTACGGGCATATCCCCAGAAGGGGCAGTGCAAGAGGCAGCTGATGGATGATTCTCTCTCATCGATGTTTCTAACTCTCTCTCTCTCTCTCTTCCTCTCTGTAAAAAATCAATAAAATATATTTAATAAATAAATAAATAAATAAATGTAAATGGCTTAAATTTCCTAATGAAAAGACAAAATCTGAAGAATAGGAGGAAAAATCCATGATCCAATTATATGCTGCCAGTAAGATACACATTTCAGATCCAAAGACAAAAGGGTTTGGAAGTGAAAGGATAGGGGAAATACTTCATCCAAATGACAACCAAAGACACCCAGGAATGGTTGCACTAGAGGTTCCCAGAGTAAGGCACATGCCCCACAGGAAGGCAGTTTGATTGTTAAACCGGGCAATTAGAGAATGAGTTACTAACAGAGCATTTCTTGTCTTTCTTATTGTTGTAGGGGCCTCAAACATAGTATATAAATACATGTGTGACATATTTATGCATTTCAGTTCAGTTCTCTATTATATGTCTGGAAACTTCATTTGCTATTTTTTCATATCACTTCATATTATTATTTTTTAAACAATTTCTTAGTGATTGTTTTCTCAGTACTTTAACTGTCCTTTCATTCTTTTTTCTCTTTCATGGATGCTATGTTCCTTGGAAGCTTTTTTAAACCAAGTTCATAGCCTTTTAGGCTTCTTCCATGTGAATAGGAGTTCACTTTTTGAATAAGAATTATATGTTGGGGGGGGAAGGGGGAGGGCATTGGGGAGGGCATCAGGATTTTAATATATTTTTATTGATTTTTTACAGAGAGGAAGGGAGAGAGATAGAGAGCAAGAAATGTCAACGAGAGAGAAACATTGACCAGCTGCCTCTTGCACACCCCCCACTGGGGATGTGCTCACAACCAATGTACATGTCCTTGACCAGAATCGAATCTGGGACCTTTCAGTCTGCAGACCGACGCTCTACCACTGAGCCAATCCGGTTTCGGCGGCATCAGGATTTTAGAGATGCATGGCCCAAAAAGGTTGGGAACCACTGGGCTACACTAATATCAGACAAAATAGATTTTAAAAAGGTATATGAGTCAAAGAAGAACATTATATACTAACTAGAGGCCTGGTGCACAAAATTTGTGCATGGGTAGGGTCCCTAGGCCTGGCCAGTGATCAGGGCTGATCGGGGCCTTTCTTCATTCCACGCTGCCTCCTGGAGGTCAGTGCACATCATAGTGAGCAATCTAACTCCCGATCTCTGGTCAAACTCCCAAGGAGACATTTTTCATATTAGCCTTTTATATATATAGATGAAAAGACATTTCATATTAATAAAATGGCATGCCACAATATATCCATGCATGTCCTGAAGTATAGCCTCAGTGCCTCCCAGCTTGGCAATTATAAATAAAGCTGGTATAAGCATCTATGTGCAAGCTTCCATGTGGGTACAGGTTTTCAGCTCCTTTGGTTAAATACCAGGAGGTATACTTGTTGGGTCATGTGTAAGAGTGTGCTTAGTTTTGTAAGAAGCTGTCAAACGACTTTTCAACATGGCTGTGCCATTTTGTATTCCTACCAGGATTTGGCCTGGAGCTATTGTGTGTCCACATCCCAGCACTGTTGATGCTGGCACAGGTCCAGGTTTGACCTCCAGCAGGTGTATAGTGGATGTCCTTCCTTTCCCTTTCCCTGACGGCATGCGATAAGGGCACTTTCCCATGTACAATACTTCATTGAGGTAGTTGGTGAAGAGGTCTTTTGTTTTTTTTTGTTTTTTTTTTAATAAAGAGCTCATTTATTGAAGAAAACTATTTATTCATTTGAAATACATTCTCATGCTGTTTAAAAAATTATATTTATTTTAAATTACAGTTTAGATTCAATGTTAATTTGTGTACAGCTTAGTGGTTATTTCAACTAGCCACTTGGTGCCAAACATTGTCATTACAGTATTATTGATTCTATTTCACATGTTCTAGTTTGTACTTCTCAGTTTGGTCATTTTAAAAACCAGAGAGTTTGTTCTCTTGTTATACTAGAGGCTTCATGCATAAAATTCATGCAATAATAGGCCTTCACAGCCCCAGCTGCTGGGGCCCTTGCTGCCCCAGCTGCCGCACGGCTCCAGCTGCCTCATAGCCCTGTGGTCTGCCCCCTCCCACCACTCTCCTTCGCACACCTGTGTCAGCCACCATACACGCCTGGTTCCCCAGTTCTGCGAAGACCCCAGATTGATCACCCAGAGGGTGGCCTGGACCTCCCTCTTTGGGTGATCACGGAGCCTTCAGATTGATCGCCCTGCCGGCTGCTCCCTGGTGGTCAGTGTGTGTCATAGCAACCAGTCATTCTGCCATTAGGGTCAATTTGCATATTACCCTTTATTATATAGGATTCTTCTGATGCTGATACGAAATGATGCCATGTCTATGTGATGAGATGAAGTGCAGAGAATGACACAGATGTTGTAAGCTTGGTAGTAGACCACTAGTGTCTGTCAGATTGTGTGGCAAAAGATCATCAAGCCATTATGCCATGTCTTCCACCTACAAATTTAAAACTTTTTTTTTTATCTTAACTGAACACTTAGACACTGTGGCTATAACTCCTGCAGTATGAGGGTTGACAGCAAGACTAACATAAATTTCTTTTTCTTTGTTTACGGTTTCATGAATAGAATATTTGTTCTTACTTTATATTTTAGGAATCCTAGTATGTGATTTCCTCCCTATTAAGTTTATAACTTTTATATTTTCACTTTTAAAAAGTGGAAGCACCTCTTGGCTCTCTTTGGCATGTCTGAATTGCCGGCAGCACTGCTCTGCACTTTGGGGCCATTGTTAAGTGAAAGTGAGGGCTCCTGGAATAGGAGCACTTGATACCATGACAACCTTGTCATCTAGATGGTGACCAGGACTGATGGTGGGTAGTGTACACAGTGTGGGTGTGCTGGGAAGCGTGATGGTTCATGTCCCAGGAAGGATGGAGTGAGTTGATGTGTAATTGTATTACACTCCTCAGAATAGTTCAAAATCTAAAACAAGACTTGCTTATTTCTGGAATTTTCCATATTCTATTTGAAACTGCTATTGATCTGCCAGCTGAAACTGCTAAAAGGGAAACTGTGGGTACTGGATGACTGTACATTGTTTGATGGTGTGCTGGAAACCAAATCTTATTCAGCTGGGAAAGAGATGTTGACAGGAAGCCAGGAAGGCTGGTCAACAACCTCAATTGCTTTAAACCTTTAGTTGAGATTGTTAAGTTGAAGCAGCTGTTAAGCCTCAATAAAAGAGGATGGCCGGACCAGAGCAGTAGTAGTTCTCCCACTAGAGTTGGACTACCGCCTGGCCCCCCAAGTCGCCAAATTAAATTTCTTTAAGTCTCTTCATTTGTGTGCGGCCCTTCTCCAGAACCTGAACCCTGAATTGGAACTCTTTCTACGCCGGCTGGGAAAGAGACTCCTATATCTGGCGCCTTCAACGCGGGACTTCTGGAGGAGAAGGTATTTTTCGCCTAGAGCGAAGGAGGAAAAATACACCGAGAAAAGGTGTGGAAAATTCACCGGAAAAAAGGTGAGGGAAAATTCACCAGAAAAAAGGTGAGGGAAAATTCACCAGAAAAAGGTGAGGGAAAATTCACCAGAAAAAGGTGAGGGAAGATTCACCAGAAAAAAGGTGAGGGAAATTCACCGCACTCAAAGCCCACGACCAGCTGCAGCGTCGCGAACTGTAAGCAGGGTGGGAACGTCTCTTTTCAGCCAGGCTAATGGGGAAGAATTCGGTTATAAAAATATAGAATACAACCCTTTGTTTCCTGAAGAAGGTACATTAGATCTTGAGTGTTTAGCAAAAGGTGGTAAAAAAAAAAAAAAAATTTGAAGAGCAGCAGGAAACAAGGCACCTCAGAAAAACTGTTTTACCATGGGGAACGCAGTATCTAGATTATTAGAGCCTTTTAGAGAGGCTGAGGAGGAAGCTCCTCACCAGCTTCCCTCTGCCCCTCCCAGAGAAGAGCAGGAAGAAAACTTGAAGGAATGGCCTTTATGGCCCCCTTCACCTCCATGTCCTAATCCTGGAAAAGGACATGAAAGGATTTAATCCCTTCCACTGCGTGGAAAGCCTCACTGGGAAGGCACTTGAGCATTCTATATTGGCCTTTCTTGCCTTATTTGCGAAGAGGGACCCTCTCGTCACAATAATTGCCCACAGCTGTTGCTTGAGTTTTCAGTTCATGCTGAGGTTAAAACCTCATGGTGGCTGGTACCATGGATCCGTCTCTCACACGATGGGGTGAGCTGGATCCTCCCTGGAGAAGAAACCTGGGTTCCCTAAGATCTGTGATCAATGCCGGGGCCCCGCCAGCAGGCGAGGGGATCCCAAGGCAGGTACTGGGCATGGAGGCCATAGGGGCATAGGCTACAAGGAGACAGAACTGAACCTCACATCACCCTGCTTGGCCCTGGAGGATGGCTGGTTAGCCAATGACGGGTAAGATTCCTCACGGGAGGGACAACCTAAGACAGGCACAGCCGCAGAGGGCCATCAGGAGAGGACCTGGGGGCCAACAGAGGTGGGGCACAGATCCTCACCCCCCCAACGCTGCAGAGGCTTGAACACTCGCCCTTTTGAGGGATGTCTCCTGCCCCATGGCTGCTTCACGCTTCTCATACCCAGCTCAGATTGGGACCCAGGCAACAAACAGATTTGGTCCAGCTCAGATTGAGACCCAGCTACAAATAAGAGACTTGGCACGGCTCTTATTGAGACCTAAGCAACAGAAAAGTGGCTGATGGCGACTGTCCTACATCTAAATCCAGCCTAAATCTATGAGTGTTCAGGGCTTTCTTAAGGATGCATATAATCTTTTCCATTAATATTTACAGAGTAAACTAAAAATGTTGTTAAAGTATTAAATTTGACAGTAAAATAGTCAAGTTTTCAAATTAATTTAAATTGGCTAAATGAAATGAGTTAATATTCAAGAAAATTTAATTGTACAACAGGCTGTTCCTAAAGTATTAACCAAAATTTCTATTGGTAGTCCATTTCATGGTAAAATTGTTTAACATACAATAAACCCTAAAGCAGTCATAGTTTTTGTACAAAAAATTAAAAGTTAAAAGTTATCAAAACAGCATTATAAAATTTTTCCAAAAGCCTCCTAATAATTAAATAGAAAAAGGGGGATAGTGGAAAATACCATGTTAAAAAAAAAAAGTGTCCTGTAAGTAAATTACATCTAGAAAAATTTTTCTTCTTTTGAAAACCAATTTTTCAAAATCATTTGTAATGATAACAGTAAGACAGCCATGAAAAACACACATAGTACCAAAATAAGTCAAAGAAAAATTGTTTGGGCAAAAAATTAAAAGTATCCCAAGTAAAATTTATAGAAAAGATTCCTTTATTAATTTTGGTCGAGATATGTTTGTATATTTTCAGAAAACAACTCTAAGACCATGTGAATTCCTGCAACAGAGAAGAATTGACAGGAATACTCCAGCCATAAAGGCAGGAGGAAAAACAGACCAGAGATGGAAGATGCTGAGGACGCCTTGCCATACTAGCAGTCAGCAGATGTACGTCGCTGCAGGTTGTCCAGGACCAAACCAGAGGTCGGACCTGCATTGACACCATTTTTCCACCATCCGGATACCATTGCTGTCATGGACTTAGAACTGTTGGACATTAAAATTTGGACTCAAAAAACTGTGTGACACTGAATCTGGGATTTAAAAACTGTTGGCCCAGAAAGAAATGTACTGCAGACTGATTTCATTTGACTCTCAGCATAGCCATTGTTGCTTATTTCATTTTTTGTTTGTAGTCTACATATGTAAAATTTTTTAGGGAAAGAAAACGGGGGAGATGCTGGAAACCAAATCTTATTCAGCTGGGAAAGAGATGTTGACAGGAAGCCAGGAAGGCTGGTCAACAACCTCAATTGCTTTAAACCTTTAGTTGAGATTGTTAAGTTGAAGCAGCTGTTAAGCCTCAATAAAAGAGGATGGCCGGACCAGAGCAGTAGTAGTTCTCCCACTAGAGTTGGACTACCGCCTGGCCCCCCAAGTCGCCAAATTAAATTTCTTTAAGTCTCTTCATTTGTGTGCGGCCCTTCTCCAGAAGCTGAACCCTAGATTGGAACTCTTTCTATGCCGGCTAGGAAAGAGAGTCCTATAATGGTGTCTCCTAAGTCCTATTGAATTTAGTTCTTTCTGTGTCTCTTTTATTTCGAGCATCTTTAAGGGGATTTGAATTATTTGTCATAGATATATGTGTCTTTAGGATTGATTTCTGGGGGTTCATTTTGTTCTTTTGATTGAGTATGTTTCTCTTTGTCTTTGTATGCCTTGGGATATTACATTGAGATTTGGTCATTTGAAAAAAAAACTGTCACGTCTCCCAGTCTTTATAGCTATGCCTTGTGCCAGAGAAAACCTTCACCCATCAGTCCACCTATAAATTCAAAGACCCACTCAAACCTTTTCCGTGGAAATGACCTCTGTGGTCTTGTTCATGCATTTTCCCTGTTAAAGTGGTTGTCCCTGTTTTGTTTTCTGTGTTTCTTATTGTTGACTAGAGGCTCAGTGTGCAGATTCATGCACCGGTGGGATCCCTCAGCCTGGTCTGTGGAGATCGGGCTGAAACCAGAAGTCCAATATCCCCTGAGGGGTCCCGTAATACGAGAGGGCACTCTGCAAAGTTGCTATCACTCGGCAGTTCCCCCGGTGGTCAGTGCATGTCATAGCTACTGGCTGGTTAGTTCGTTGACCAGTCATTTAGGCTTTTATATAGAGAGATTTTAGAGAGAGAGGAAGGGAGAGGGAGAGAGAGAATAAACATTGATGTGAGAGTAAAACATCAATAGTTTACCTCCACTGGGGTCTGAGCCCATAACCTGGTCCCAAGGGCAACCCTTTGCTGCACAGGACGATGCCCACATAAGCCGCCCGGCCAGGGATCTGCCTGTTTTAGTTTGGTTTAAATCAAGAACGTCTCATCTCTTGCTCACACTAGTGCCGCCCTGTAGGCCTGCAGGCTCTCTGGTGCTGTAGGAAGCACTTGCGCTACCTTGTTCCCAGCAGCCGTGATCTGAGTACATGCCTTTCTCATCTGCGCTCAGAGTCTGTTGATGCAGAAATCACTTTCTAATTTCCTGTCTTATTGTGATATTTATCTGAGAGTGTTTTTATTGGTGTAGATTTGAGTTTGAATTTACGTAATGTATTTATTTGAAATCTGTGTTTCTATTGGTCCTTCACCAATGGGCAACAGCCAGTGGGCTCAGGAGCCTGTTCAATTGTACAAGTCTCTTCTTAACATTGCTGGATACAAAAGCATCTTCATGTTTTACATAAGATCATTGCAGCAACTGCACTGTGTAGCGTACTTCTTGCATCTCTTACGTGCAGTTTGTTTTAATACGTATTTTCTTGATTCAAACCAGACTTCCTCCACAGGAGTCCAAGGACATTGCTCAGGTATGATAAAACACAGAGCATGAACCCTGTATTAATAGGTTTGAGGTATCAGAAGGGATACAGATATATTGAGCATAATATGCTAATCACTAATTTTAAGAGATTTGAAGGGAGAGGCCAAGTTAAGCCCAGGTTGAGTTGGTTTGTTTGTCCTAGGGTTAAGTAACCAGAATATATAGGTGGGATTTACCTGCCAAGATTATGGGGGTGGTTTGAAGGAAAGTAAGAGGTAGAAACCTGAGTACAAGGTCAAGTGCCCTGAGCTCAAGCCCTCTATCTCTGTGTTGTTTACCCAGGGAGCTGCAGGCTCTGAGGCCGGGATAATGGGGGTCGGGGGAGCTGGAGCACAGCCCCAGAAAGCACCACGTCTGATCAGGCCTGCAGAGTCGTGCTGTGCATGTTCCTGGGAAGGAATATAAATGTAAAGGCATGAAGGACAGAGTTCAGAACGGACTCATGCCTGGTAGTCAAGTGTGAGGCAACAGTCCGCTTAGGGCCCTGCTGACTTCAGAGCTTTCGACAGTGGGGTGGGCTAGCCATTTAGTAGAACATTATTAAATGTCACCTGAGCATGGGTGGGCAGTAGCCAATTCCTGGCCAGCCTGAGCTAGTTCAGGGTCCAGGATGGGTGAGCAGCCTATGATCAGTGTGATTGTGATGGAAGCCTGTGGTGAGATTGAGCAGGACAGGAAGGAAGAGGCTTGGAATTGAGAAGTCAAACCCCAGGCTTAGAAACACTGGAGTTACATTTCAAGCTAGGTTTCAGCACTTCTCATGGAGGAACTTACTAATGCCTTTTACCTGCAGGGTTAGTTTCCCATTTGGGACATAAGGCTGCACCCAAAGGATAAAGGTCTTGTCTGCCAGATCTCTTTCTCGTGATAGAAATATCTATATAGATATAGATATAGATATAGATATAGATGATATAGATATAGATATGCTTAAATGACCATTACAACTGAATGAGTGGAACCACTGGTCGACCAGTTACTTTGACACGCACTGACCACCAGGGGCAGGCACTCAATGCATGAACTGCCCCCTGGTGGTCAGTGTGCTCCCATAGCCAACCTCCTGCAGCCCCTCCACCCAGCCCGCTAACCTCCACGGCCCCTCTCCCCTGCCTGTTGGCCTCCTCAACCAGCCAGCCAACATTCTACTGTCCCTCCCCTCTGCCAGCCAGCCTCCCCCTCCCCCATAGGCCCTGATTAGGGGGCCAGCTGGCCAGCCTCCTAGGGTCCTTTCCGCTGGCTGGCGACCCTAACCACCCCCCTTTCTTTATCCTACCCCCTCCCCCTCGATGGACCTCAATTGCCAGCCAGGCCAAGGTTCCCCACCCATGCACAAATTTGTGCACCGGGCCTCAAGTCTATCTATATAAAAGGCTAATATGCTAAGTGTCTTCCCCACCAGTCACAGTGATGCACACTGACCACTAGGGGGCAGATGCTCAATGCAGGAGCAGCCATGATGTGCACAGAGAAATGACACCATGGACCTGGCACCCAGAAAGCAACACTCAGCTTCCCCCAAGTGAGGACACATGCCCTGCTACTACCCTGGAGTGACAGCCCACCAAATCGCAGCCAATGCTGCCAAGACCCCATGGTGCAAAATACAGCCCACAGCCCAGCCCAGCCCAGAAATGGTCGCTGCGAGTACCAGGTAATGACGTCAGGTAGCAACACCCAGCTTCCTCTCCCTAGCAACTAGCTTCCTTGGAGTTTTAGGAACACAGGTGGAAACATTTCACACTTTAACCAAATATCTGTGAAGCGTTTTCCTGTGCCTCATCTCATTTGATCCTCACAGAAGTCCTAGAGAAGGTACCGTAGATAGGAGACTCAGTAGAATCCTATTTTCTTTTTGTTAGCCAGAAAATGGAGATTTAGAAAGCTTAGAAAGTTGACCTGATTGAAAGAAAGTAAGAAATTATGGACATTGAAAATGACTTTAGGTTTTCTCACTGCTCAGAATATAGTCAGACACTGCTACAGTTAACTATTTTACACTTTTTCTCCCTGTGCGATCTACAGTAATAATCTGTGTTGTGTTAGTATTTACTGCTGCATTGCTGGCGCTTACCTGAAAGAGAAGTTGGGGTGCTTCACTGAGCTGGAGAAAGTTTAGCTAAATCAGAAAGCAGGTCTAATGAAGCAAGTTAATGCTATGTCTATAAAAGGCTAAGTTGACTCAAGCATGCGCGGTACATATAAAGCTCTTGCTGGCGCTAATCATGTGTGTGTTTCCATCTGTCATTGTGGATCATAAATTTGGTTGGCACTTCTATTATAAAGGGGAAATAGCGATATTAAAATATTTCTGTCAATTAACCCTTTGCACTCGGAACCATTCTGGACATTGGCTACCAGCTACTTGACGCTACTTTGCGGCGGACACGTGCGTTGAATTAACTCAATTCCCCGTAATCACTAATAAACTGCAATGTCCCCTGAGAGGGGACATCCGAGTGATATGCTAGAATTCCGATGTCCCCTGAGAGGGGACAGCAGAGTGCAAAGGGTTAATTTTCTTTTTGTGTGCAGGAATTTGTGCACCAGCCACTAATGTTTTATAAAACGCGCTATCCAAACAATAGGCCCAGTCACGTGTGCTCCTGAGTCCTGGAAACCTGGCTGGTGCGAGTGAGGAGCTAAAGTTTAAATGAATTAAATAGCCATGCATGGTTAGTCCCATCTTATTGCACAGCTAGCTACAGATGAGAGCCGTTAGAGGGCTCCTTAGGATAGAAACAGTTGGCTTTTCAGAATTTTCTTGAATGAAATGTTCTTCCAGTTCCTTATTTCTGTGCAGGGTATGTGCTGTTTGGTGTGCAGTGAGGCATATTGTCCCTATCTTGAAGAAAAATACACAGAGGAAATTTAAACAAGCACAGTAAAGACAACACAGACAGAAAGTGACAGCACAATATGCTTTAACATTAATAAAAAGGTGAATTATGCCAAGTGTAGAGGAGTCAGAGGGACAGTCTCCTCAGGAGCCGGAGGCGTGGGGGCAGGGCACGCTGCCCGTGTGCAGGGCCCAGAGAAGGAGGGCATTCCTGGTGGAGGCCCAGGACACTGAAGTCAGTAGTTCAGGAACCTGACTGGTGTGAGCAGGCTCAGTGGGAGGCTGACTGCTTCAGTACGAGGCGGTTTGGAAAATGGGATCACCTGTGTCACACACAGTTACAGCTGCCTCTGAATTCCTGGCTGAAAAGCTGGATGCAGCTCTCAGGCAGGGGAACGTGGGCATTATTGGAAAACGCAGCCCTGGGGGAATGTAATCAGTTCCACTGCAGGAGCAGAGCCCTGGCAGGTGTGATGAGCAGAGCAACGCGGCAGGAAGCCCACAGTCGCCTAGACGGGAAGCACAGGTTCTGGCGGGAGGAGGCCACGGAGGGGGCAGCATGGAGGGCACGCGGCACGTGGTGCAGCGTGAGAAGGCGACTGTGGACGCACTCGGAGCGTCAGAGTAGGGTGGGCTGAACAGTGGCACTTTGGGTGGAAGCGAGTCCATGGGGAGGACGGAGTTCTAGCCTGAGCCCTGGGGTGACCTGGAGTCAGGGGGAAGCAGCCACGGGACGGCACCTGGCTGTCAGCCACTGCAGGAATTGGTTGCTGTTTACACATTTCAGCGCGGCATTAAAATTCAGCTTGGCCCTGGCGGGTATCCCAGGTGGCAAGAGCATTGTCCCCATTATGCCAAGGTTGCAGGTTCTATCCCCAGTCAGGGCACATACAAGAAGCGGCCAGTGTTCTACATAAGTAGAACAGCAAGTTAATGTTTATCTCCCTCCCCCCGCCGCTCTAAAATCAATCCATTAAAAAACCCCTACCTTTAACCAACACTTCATCTGAAAACTTGAGTGTGTTTTATGTGAGGAATGGAGCATTTTTAATGTTAGCCAGCTCACGACCTGTAAGCTTCAGCAGAATGATCACTAACACCAGTGTCACGTGTGTAACTAGGAGCTTATTGAACCTCCTCCCGACAGTTCCCATCCCACCGTCCCCAGTCACTGCTGCTTTCCTTTGTAGAGCGAGCGAAAGCAAACATGAGCGACACCTGGTCCGAGAACCCGGGCCCTATGCCGTGTGTCTGGGGAATGGAACTTCTATCGGTTGTTGCCCAGTGAGCTGGGTAATAAACTAAAACTCTTTCTCTCTCTAGAACTGGAAAGTTAGACTTGTCCCAGCCATTTTCCGCTGATAGTCTTCGTCAAACCGCTCGTTCTGAGCCACGGTGAAGTGATTCCTCCAGTCTCCGACGGTCCCTGAAAGAGGTGTGGGAGTCAGAGCCTCAGGACTGTGCTCTCTGCCCACCTCTGTGTGCGGTGTCCACTCGCCCTGCAGGGGGCAGGGCTTTCCTCCTGCCAGCCTGTCCCTTTCCGTCCAAGGGAAGAGGACGTCTGTCTGGTTGTGGGGCCAGGAGAGCCTGCTGCACCGCATTGTGGTGGGGTGGGGGTGGGGATGGGGCCTCATATTAAAACCGCAGGCCTGGGGCTTTGCTGTCTTTTCCCTGCCCTCTTGCATGTCAGGCAGCATCACGCTATCTATGCTTTGCTCAATTGGACTGAAGTCGGCATTTCCACCTTATCATCTGGAACTCTGGAGGGGAGTGAGATAAGGCGGTGGGTTTAGACACTAAACCTTACTCTAATTGTGGCTAAACGTTGGTTTCATTTCATCTGTGGTCTCTTAAATACTCCTTCCCCAGCATCATTTATTATGGGCCTTGTTTTTCTTATCCATGGAAACCGCCCCACAGGCCCTGGGGTCCTCGCAGTTCTTTAGGGTCATGACCAACAGAGAGAGAACCGCCTTTCCTCATGAACGGAGAGACCGAGTGGTCCATGACCTCAGCGGGGACTACCGTGTAGTTTGCCATGGGATTTTGCTTCATGACATCAAACGAACTGTGATGGACAATTTTATCTAGGATAGGGGTGTCGAACTCAATCAGAGAAGGGGCCAAAATCTAAAATCCAGCCTAAATCGCGGGCCGAATGGTTTACTGAACACTCATAAACTGTCATTGTGATGGAAACGCAGCGGAGTGCAGTGATGACAGCGCGGTGCGGGCCACATTGCAAGGCCTGGCGGGACGGATTTGGCCCGCGGGCCTTGTGTTTGACACATGTGATCTAGGACATTGTCATCCAGCTTTTTTTCCAATAAATTTTCCCAGTTCCGGATTTCATGCTTTGGGTTCTGTGTTCAGAGTGAAAAGAAACATGAAAATTTGATATACAATAGTTTTTAAAGTATTGCATTGAATTAATAACATTGATAAGTAACAAAATAAAAAATAATCTTGCCTCACAAATGCTCAACTTTCCAGAAATGACTCATTTTAATACGGTGACACAGATTTTTAAAAGTTAACTATAATTATTAAGCTTTTCCTGCTCCAAGATGGAAGCACCGCTGAGGATGATGTGCAGTATCCAGGGAAAGCTGCACTTAAACTTATTTCCAAATGTCCTGCTCGGGCAGTTACTGGAGGGTCTTGGTCAGCCACGTGTCCAGCAGGAGAGTCTGTGCGAGCGAAAGTACTGCAGAGGCACGAGGCAGGCGGTGAGGCCTGACCAGGGGAGGCTGCCACTAGCTCTGCCTTTGACAGAAACGCGCCCAGACATTGGTGTGGATGGAGTGGACCTGTTACACTCAGGAGGCGACTGAGAGGTGCCCGCTGAGGACTCCGGGCCCATCCCTCTGCCCGGTGTGTATGTGTAGGTGTCTCAGTGCCTAAGGGAGCCACTGTTCTCTCATCAGAGGGCCGTGGGATATACCTGTTTTTAGAAGGAGTGAGGGAGGGCAAGTGGAGGAGTGTACCTCACAACAGTATCTTCTGTTTTATGATGAACTTCTGCTTTAAAAGGTTGGATGTTTAATTTGCTCAGGCTGGGGACTCGGTGATTAGAGCCCCGCCCTGTGAACTGCAGAGTCACGGGTTTGATTCTGCTCAGGGGCACGTACCTCAGTTGCAGGCTGGATCCCTGGCCCAAGTCAAGGCAGGTGTGGGAAGCAGCCAGTCCATGTGTCTCTCACATCGATGTTTCTCTCTTTCTCCCTCTCCCTTCAACCCTCTCAGAAAGCCAATGGGGGAAAAACAACAACATACACTTGGGTGAGGATTAACAACAAAAACAAAAAGTGCTTAATTTAATTGGCCTCTTACAGACTGGGGATCGGCAAAAGTGCTGAAAACTGCGAGCTTTGTGTGACTGCATTCAGGGAACATTCCAGAATATGACCACAGAACATGTAAAAGGGTTTAGGAACTCTGAGGTTAGACTACCTGTGTATTAGAATACTAGAAATGTAGTAAGTTATTTGTTTTAAAAAAGCATAGAGTACAATTTAAAACAAACAGAATAAGAATATAGGCATGGGAACAAACTGGGGTGGCAGGGGCAGGCAGGGCTGGGAGGAGGGGGGAGGGGTCGGAGGCACAGACTCCCAGCTGTCCGCTCAGTCAGTCAGGCGGCTGTGGTTAATGATACTGTGCTGCATACCTGACAGTCGGGGAGCGAGATCTTAAAGTTCCAACTACAGGAAATAGTTATAACTCTATTTGGTGCAAATGTTAAGTAGACTTACTGTGGTGCTCATTTTGCCAGGAGTACAAATATCAACTCATCCTGTTGTATACCTGAAACTAACACTATGTTACAAATCAGTGATCTCAATTAAAAACATAGAAAACGATACTGTTTTTCATTCTCGATATTTTGTATCTGGCAATAAAGCCAGAATTTGAATTCAATAATTCTGACTCTAAATCATTAGTGTTTTCCCATTATACCATCATTTCTTAAACTGTTGTTTAAATTGATGTTCCTCGATGGAAAAAAGTGTGTTAGAAAAGCATTTCCCTTCTAAGCAGAATGTAAAATGTGCTGGAAGGCGGGTGAGGGACCAGCAGCAGGAGCTGCGGGCGACGTGGCAGGCGGGAGCCAGGACAGCGGGGCATTGCGCACGGGCAGCTATCCAGTGAAATGAAGCCATTCTTGCTCCCTTTCACTCTGCGAGGCCCTGAGGCAGCCCCCTGCTGTGATGTAATATTTCCTGGTCAAAAAGGAACCTGCTGCCCCTCACCGTCTTCAGGTCCTCGTAGAAGAGGTAGAGGATGCGGTGTTGGTCTCTGGCTTCCCACCATCCTTTCACGTGGTCGTGCCATGAGCCCCAGCACACTGCAAGACAGGGCGAGGCCAGGGCGGGGATGGGGGAAAGGGCGAGGGCCAGGGCCAGGGGAATGGGCCGGGGCAGGGGGGGGGGAGGGGGGGCAGGATGTGGGATGGGGCCAGATGGGTTCAGGGGAATGGGATATGGGGCGGGGCCAGGGGAATGGGACATGGGGCGGGGCCAGGGGAATGGGACGGGGGACAGGGCATGGGGCAGGATCAAGGGGAATGGGATGGGGGACATGGCGTCGGAGGGGGCCAGGGAATGAGGTGGGGCCAGGGGGTCACCAGCTGACACCCCACGGAGGAGAGAGTTCCCACTGTCAGGTGGTGATCCCCTCACATCCAAGAAGGCAGGCCCCAGGGGTCCTCAGAAAATGGCCCTTTTTATGGTGTTTGAGGCTTAGAAAGGGGTTCAGAGCAGAAGGTTCATACCTTTCCCAGTCAGAAAGCTCTCAAAATACTCTTCCCAGGTCCCTGGGGCCGGAAGCGCTTTATTCATCCTGTGGAAATGGTAGTAAGACACCAGATTGTCCTTGGGGTTTCTCGCCACATAGATTATCTGGGAAGGGGGAGAGAAATAGCCGGTGAGGCTGCCGCATGGTGGCTATCGCCCACGAGCTGCATCCTTCCGGACGGGTCTTGGGCTGCTGATCCTGGGGAGGCGGGAGGGGAGATGGAAAGCTCACGGCCGTGTGCACGCGGTTGTGGTGAAGAGGTGAACCCTTTAAGAAGTGAAGTGCTTTCAGAGGAAATAGAGTGAAGACCAGAGCATAACTCAGAGCTCCTGCCGCCCTTTACCTTACAGTTTTTCTCCACGAAGGACGGGGGCAGCAATTGGAAGGGAGGGTGTGTTTTCAGGGTCTGTGGCGAGGGCATCGCATTAGCTTGTTCCAAGCCTGTAAAATGATTTTGATCATTTCCCACTATTGTTCTCTGTGCTTCAAAATACTGCTGCGTTCATTGTTACCCCGTAAGGGCCAAGTGGACAATTCGAGGCAGCTCTGTGCTCTGACCTGTGAGTTAATGTTCTGGCTTGAACAGTGTCTAACCAAGCCAAACGAATAAGAACCCAAAAACCCAAACCTGTTGCCCAGGAAGTCCTCCTGGCCGAGTAAAATTAATGTTTAATTGGAGGATCAAAATGTACCTTCCTTCCGTACAAGCAGGGACTCATTAGAAGAGGTGGCTGGAGTACAGCATTGGCCTGATACAGTTTTTTAAAAAGACAGAGTCACAAAACCCATCATTACTTGTGCGAATGTCTGGAGTTGTGAGAGGCCATTTGACAGTCAGCATTCTGAGTCTGCGTTTAGGAGTGCAATCAAGTGAGGTTATTCCACACTCACCCGATCCTATGGACGGGATGATCCATTCGATGAAAGGAAACCGCACGTGAGTAGGTGCTCGCTGAGTTCTGTCAACATCACCATCGTTTAGTATCAAGTCCACTATCTCCTGAGTCCACGTTGTCCCTTGTTCAGCAGGAGGTGAGATGAGTAGACCGTTAGTGTACTATGCCCTTAAGATGGTCAAGTGCTTGTTAGACATCTGTGTGCATTGTGAAGCCAGGTTTACGATGGAATTGTTTTAGCATAGTATGATTTTTATGAAAAGGCTACAGGGTGAAGTAGACCTGTGTGTGCAGTTCATTGTTTCCTGCCTCAGCCATTCCCTGCGAGCTGTCCTGGTGGCTGAGCTGCACTTTGCTCAGGAAGAACAGCCCTCCGACCCTGCCTGCATGTTCTGAGGCTGCCGAGCCGATCTGCAATGCAGAACCACAGTTCCCTAATCGGCCCCCAATCAGCCTGGGGCCCTTTCCCGCTCGCTCACACAGAGCGGCCTTGTACTCGGCCCACACGGAAGGCCTGCCTTGGGAACAAAGCAATCAACAAGTCTGGAGCCGGTGCGTTCCTTGCTGAGGAGGTAAAAAGAAACGTGTGTCACTGGGAGAATTAAACACTTAAATCTTGTTTCAGTTTCACTTTCCACAGCGGTTTTCTGTAGCCCTCACTGCCCAGCCAGCAGCCCTCCACTCAAACCCCATCATCTCTTTATTTCCCTGTAAATGCACTTCCCATCCCCTCCCTGCACCCCCGCTCCGCCCACCTGCTTTAGGGTAGGTGCAGATGAGCAGGTCGTCGGGCCTGGCCTGGAAGTCCCAGATCTGGTCCCAGGTGTCGCAGGTGGGTTTGGGTTGAAGGATTCCCTTCACATAGTCCACAGCTATGCGCTCTGTCCATTCACATTTCGGCTCCTCCATTCTGTTCGGGTGTCAGGAGCCGGAGTGCTGTTCCCACAGGCTGCGGGCTCTGTCAGCACAGAGCTGTGGTCTGACACCCTCCTGGGAGCCTGTGCGCTGAGCGGGGAGAGACGCTGGCCTGCTGGTCCCGCCCAGAGCCAGGCCTGTTTGGGATTTGCACTCAGGCGTCTCCTGGCCTTGGCCCTTTCCCAACTGCAACACCCCGGGCCTCGCCAATCTGGAGCGCTGGGATCTGCTGGCCCTGCCCTCCACTTCCAGGCCTCGACCCTCCCCCAATCAGCGACACCCCGGGCCTCGCCAATCCACCAATCTAGAGCGCTGGGATCTGCTGGCCCTGCCCTCTGGCATCAGTGCAGCAAGGGTCAGTGCCAGGGCTCATGTGTCATCTCTGTGCTCACAGAATAAGGCACAGATGCCCCAGCTGTTTCTGGAAGGTCTGCACTGCTGGAAGAGTTGGAGAGGATCTGCCTGTGGGATTACAGCCCTGAGCGGCTTCCCCGGTGGCTGGAGGGCAGGTTCTGGCTGTGACCAACAAGGTCCTGCATGGACCCTCCCGGCCCAGAAACCTAAAGGCTCCGCTCTGGGTTTTAAAGAATAAGGCAGACCGGCCTGTGAGGGAAGGCTCCTTCCTGCTGGAGGCCGTTTAGTGTTCATACCAACAGCTGTCTTTCAGGGCTCTAAGAACAGTTTGTCTCAAAAGCAAACGAGTGGCAGGGGGTTTGTGTTAGGACCCATCTGCTTCCTCCTTCTTGGGGTTCACGCCCCAGGCTCAAGCCAGAGGCGGCTGTGGGCTCCTTTCCCTCACAGCCTCCGGTTTGTCTGGGCTCCCGGCTCCTCTCCCGGGAGCAGCCTGGCTCCTGGGGGAGCTGCGTTCCTCCTCCCTCCCGGCCCGCCCTCTTCCTGGCTGACCAGCTGCCAGAGGCCAGGCTCCTCTCCACTGCTCCTTGCAATGCTGAGTGCTACTGGTCGCCAACCAACTTCCCTGCCTTCCTGTGATGCAGCGGAACAGACATCTCTGCTCCTGTTTCTTTTCCTCACACAGAGCTCCTAACCTTTGGGAGTTCCTGTGGTTGGAGTGCCCTTGGTTATTCATAAGGAGGCCATTCCACCACATCTGGGCGTATGCTAATGAGGGGGCGGGGCCCTGGGATAGTCTCTGAGCTGGAGCGAGAGGGCTGGCCACACCAGGAAGACAGCCATGATGAGGGTGGGAACTTTTTTAGGCCCATCCCCAACCTACAGGGAGGGGAGAGGGGATAAGGCCCCAAGAAAGCTCTGGCCACTGAAGCATCAGTGGGTGATGAGCACGTCATTTTCTTGGGTGGGGGGCGGGGGAAGCGACATGCCCAGTGCCATGGGGAAGGGCCTGGACACTCTGCCCCTCTCCCCAGACCTTGAACTATGCACCTCCCCACTGGACTGCTCCGGACCGCATCCTCATGGTAAAGCTGTGAGCATGGAGCCTTCTGTGAGCCCTGCGATCCTGCTGGTGGGTTAGTGAACTAGAGGGACACGGGAACTCCCACAGGAGGGCTGGTTGGTCATCGGTGCGGGTGAGCCTGGGGCTGGCTGGCACCACAGACAGGCAGTCTGTGAGCAACTGTCCTTGGGTGTTGGGTCTGCACACCGGCAGGTGGTCGTTGCCGACTGATTGGAATTAGGACCCTGGTTGGCGTCGGGGATTGCTGTTGGCATCCCAGCAACCCTCAATGGCTCTCAGAATCCATTGTCCCCAGAAATCAGGAAGTTCTGTTCTTGCTTAAGTCCTCCCCCAAATCTTCACAAGCTCCCATGAAGGCCTTCGTGCAGAGGCCTCCCTGTACCCAGGCTAAGCCTCACCCGCTGCCTCTCACGGGGCAGCCCCAAGGCCATGCCTGCCTGGCACCAGCTCCCTCTGGGGTTGCAGAAACCACATCTCTTCTGGCATGCTCATTGGCTCTGCAGGTCGCGCATGTTGAGTTCTTTGGCTTCCTTCTCGACTGCTCTAATGTCTTCCCACCATGCCCCCTCTCTGAGAGGCCCCCCTGAACTCAGGTCCCGTGCAGGTCCCACCTCCTTCCCTTCTCGGATCTTTCCCGATGTGGCTGTGTGAGTGGGCATGGCACTCGCTTATTACAGTCTACTAGGTTCAGTTGTGCAGCATTATACAGTCCAGCTGCGTAGCACTCACTCCAAAGTCCAGCTCCCTTTTGTTACCATACAGTTGGCCCTTTACATGTTTCACCCTCTCGCACCCTAGCCCCAGCCCCAGCCCTAGGCCCAGCCCCTGATCTGTTGTCTGTGAGTTTGTTCATTTGTCTTTGGTTTCCTTTTAAAAAGTATACCATGAATGAGTGAGATCATATAACATTTGCTTTTCTTTTTGTAATGTGTCTTTATTGTTGAAAGTATTGTAGATTTCCCTTTGATTATTTTTTCACCATTGACCCCCTTTAACCCACACCTACACTTACCAGGCCTTCACCACTCTATTGTCTGTCCATGGACTATGCATAGCTGTATATATAAAAGACTAAGTGTCCATCCATCCAACTGACCACCAGGGGGCAGGTGCATCACGCAGGAGCTGTCATGACCCACACTGCCCATCTGACCTAATAATAGACAAACATGTAAATTGACCGCATCTCTGCTACACCCACGGCCAATTAGAGTGAGTATGCAAATTACAAGGCCAAAGATGGTAGCCACCCAGCTGCTTCAGGCACTGAGTGGCCAGGCAGGACAGGACGCCTGCTATGAGAGGGAGGGTGGGGGGTGAAGGGATCTACAGGAGCAGAGTGCCACAGCAAAGACAATACTGCAGACTCTGGAGTCTGCAGCAAAGATGAAGATGGCAGACTCGGGCCAGAGCGAAGGCCTGGGTCCCAGGTGGAGGAAAACCGGTGCTGAAAGCCAAGGGAAGGAAGGCCTATTGCACGAGTCTCTTCGTGCAATGGCCTCTAGTTTAAAAATAAACAGCACCACAGAGCTGGCGCTGACAACCAACACTCAGCTTCTCCCAAGTGTGACATAGGCCCCGCCACCACCCTGGAGCAACACCCCACCAAATGGAAGCTGACACTGCTATGACCCCATGGCACAAAATACGGCCCACAGCCCACCTCCACTCAGAAACAGTCACTGTGGGTGCCAGATAACAACGTCAAGTAGCAATGCCTGGCTTCCTCTCTCTAGGGACTAACCTCCTTGCAGTTTCTTCAGCCCAGGAATATGACTTCCTTTATAGCCAGGTGCAAACATTTGACAGTTCAATCAATGTCTGTGAAGCATTTTCAGAAGTGTCATCTCATTTGATCCTCACAGAAGTCCTGGAGTAGGTAGATAGGAGACTATGGAATACTATTTTATTTTCATTAGCCAGAAAATGGAAATTTAGAAAGTTCAGAAACTTGACCCAACTGAAGAGATGTAAGAAATGGTGGACCTTGAAAGTGACTTCAGGTTTTCTCACTGCACAGAATATAGTCAAAAACTGCTACAGTTAAATATTTTACCCTTTGTTCTCCGTGTGTGATCTACAATAATAACCTGCTTTGTGATGATATTTACTGCTGTGTTGCTGACAATTACCTGAAAGAGAAGTTGGGGTGCTTTCCTAAGCTGGAAAAGTTTTAGCTACATCTCAAAGCAGGTCTAATGAAGCAAGTTTATTCTATGTCTATAAAAGGCTAAGTTGACTTGCACATGTGCGGTACATACAAAGCTCTCACTAGTGCCAATCACATGTGTGTTTCAATCTGTCATTCTCGATTGTGAATTTGGTTGACACTTCTATTATAGAGAAAGGGTGAATAGTGATATTAAAATACTTCTAATTAATTTCCTTTCAATGTGCATGAATCTGTGCACCAGGACACTAGTATGACTATAATATCATTACCCAACCACCCCACTCCAGCCTTCCCTCTGAGGTTTGAGGGTCTGTTCTGTGCTTCTATGTCTCTGGATCTGTTTTGTTCATCATTTTATTTTGTTTATTAGATTCCACATTTGAGTGAGATTGTGTAATACTTGACTTTTTCTGACTGGCTTATTTCGCTCAGCATAATGCTCTCCAGGCTCCTCCATGCTGTTGCAAATGGTAAGAGTGCTTTCTCACAGCTGGATAGTATTGCACCTCCTGGTGGGAATCATAAAAACATGAAACAGACTGAACCTCGGAGAAGCTAACATTCATTTCTTTCTGGGGAGAGGTCAGAGCACTGCCTTCTGTGTCCCTCTCCTGATGTTTTAAAAACAAAGTATGTGAGAATGTGTGTTGCAACTCCAAGTGTATGTTGACATAGTCCTTAGTGACATGGGACTAGGTGCCCAAAACTTGAGTTCTCGTGTTGGGTTTCATAAATTGGAAGTGCTTATGCTGCCCATCATGAAGCCCAGAGTCAGCGAGAAGACGAAAGTGGGAACAGACTTACAGGTCTCTGTTCTCCAAGCCCCTGGATGGCAGAGCCTGTGTCTATTTGCCCCTCTAGCACTGCATCCACAATGTCACTTGTGCCTTTTTAATGAAAGTGTCATCTTGGGCTGGTGTCCTGTCCCTCTGAGTGACCTGCCTCGGCACCCCTGGCCTAGCTGCCTCGGAGCCACTCCATCCACGGCCAGAGGAGCCCTGGCACAGGAGGCGCAGCACTTTCCAGGTGTGGCTCAGAGACGAGAACAGAACCCGTGGCGACCCTCGCAGGCCACCTGCCAGAGGGAGGTTCTGCATGTGCTGCTGGTCCGCTCTGACCCCTGGAGGGTTCAGGTCCACTTCCTGGCAAATGTGACCCCCAGCAGAGACCTTAGTGGAACCTGACTTCCTCTCTCTGAGAGCAGCTTCTATGCCCATTTTAGCTTAAAGTTTGAAATTCTGTAAATAGAAGCAGGAACAAATTTTACTGCCTGTACAGATTTGTGATTAGATTTTGCAAAGAACTCAGTCATTCACCACAGAGGAGGACCCTAATGTCACTCTCCCTGGGAAGTGAAAGCAGGCTGTGCCTATGTCTCAGGGAGAACATCTCATTGGCAGACTCCGTTCCCTGACAACCTGTGACCTCAGGCCAACCAGACCATGCCGCATCCCAGACACAGCTAGACGGGACCAGACACATGATGAGTATTGAACGAAATGAAATCCAAGGAAGGTAGGCGGGGTGACATCTCAGACCTAACTTTTCATGCTCCCTTGTCTTCTGTCAAGAG